ATGCATAAATTAGATATTTCACTTAGTAGTGGAATGTCCTCCTGGCCAACTTCTCTCAAAATCAATAGAACTAGTATTAACAAATTACTCAAGCTATATAATAACCTACAAACAATTAAGACCTATACAAACAAGAAAAATATCTATACAATTGAAAAAATTACTAATCATAATTATACCACACCTATTGCATAGCAAAACATAGCTCATACTACAAACAAAACACCTCGTGGACTAGTTTCCAACTGGTTTAAATAGCTAATCGCACTGCTTAACTCCTATACCTCAAACTTCAAGAATATAACTAATATCCTAGTCTCTCCTAATTCATATATACTCACAGCTATCAAATCTACTAATTATACCTAGATAACCACTATATACAATGATCACAAAATAATTAGCAGAAGTCCCAACTATACCTAATCAAATACCAAACTTACACATTGGATATCTAATATAATATCAAACAAAACAAAACTTTATAGATGTACAAGCTATGATCTTACTACCTATACTATAAGTTCAATTACTGCATCATAATAACTATATTCAAACAACTACTCTCTATTTATATATCATATACCTATTTATTACAACAGATATCAATGATATCCATCTAGCCCTACTATTAAGCCACTACACTAGCACAAGCAACAACAATATGAATACTATAATACAACTACTCATACCAACTGATCTTATATCCACTATCTTAATACCAAGACCTGCACAGATCTCCTAACAGAAATCACCCTCTGTAACTCAAAAATATCTAAACACATAGCTGATATTTAAGTCTAAATCAACTAACTCAAATCATTGCAAACAAGTATCAGCTTTATCTAGACTATTGATCACACTACTAACTTCACTATACAAATAACTCAATGGCAGTCTCTACTACATGCAAACTGCACTGCAATTATCACAATTCTCCTAACTCTAAATAATAACTGCCAAATCAATATTCACACTACCTTAAATCTATTATTAATACCTATTCTTCTTTACTATCTTATTCATCACACAGACTAAACAAAATACAAAAAACAAAAGACTAGCCTTTATGGTATTTAATATTCATTATTACTGCATAGAAAAATATTCAACTTGACTTCACTCTATCAGATATTTATATACCACAAACTAACTTTCTCAATATACTAATAATTAAATTTACTTCTAACAATATCGACCACAATATAGCCATACCTCTTTTTCAACAAAACACAATCAATAATAAACTCAGAAATACTATTAGACATATCTAACAAGCAACCTATACTACTACATGACACTCACAACAAAAAATAGCAAACTAGAATACCAGATGCATTACTACTAACTAAACACTCTTCTATACATATATCAATCTATTTAACAATCTGAATAGCTTACATACCTCACTGAAGTACTTCATACTAAAAGCCTTCAAAATTAAATTTCTAATAGATAAACTCCTAACAACACAAAATCTACACAAATATCAACTTAACAAGACGACTACAGATCTATGCCTATGCTGCTAACTTGAACCTGAATCTAATATATACTGGCTTATCTGCTCCAACAACAACCCAAATATCCAAACTATTCTAACTACTATGATAACTAAATATACTAACAAAAATATAATTTCTAACAACCTTATTCTACAGACTATCAAAAATATAACTAACTACTTCACTAACTCAACCTTCAACAGAAATCTCTCGATTTTACTACTCCAAGGTTTAATCTATGAAACTCTGAATATAAACCTCTTCCAAAATCTGATGACTAGCTTAAACAATACTCCATATATAGTTATAATCCTACACAAAATCATATGCAAAGTCTACAAACAAATCTAGCTCGCTCGCTGCTAACAAATCTCTACTATAAATTACATTTCACTCTATTCAAACCAGATATATATCTTTAATATACCAATTAACAATACCACAACTAATACTACTATAACTGATGCTTCTGCTAAACTACAAAGATGGAAAGAAGCATATCTTAAATCCAACATATCAGATACTTATATCAGCAACATTTACTTCAAATCTAGATGAAGTCATTGGCTCACTCTAGTAGAAAACAGGCTGAGAGGTAAAGTAGCTCTAGTTTAAGTAATAGTAGCTTATTAATATAATATAACTCTGTTGAATTTATATTATCAAACTCAATAAAAACCAAGATAAGGCCTCATTCTATAATAATAAAAAAAAAAAAAAAAAAAAAATATATATATATATATACTATAAAAATACTAAATCAAATAATAAAACTAAAAATAAAATAAAAGAAAAATAAAGAAATAGAAAATTATAGGTATGACAATATTTATCATATCTTTTTAGTTTTCAAAATATACTATTATACTTCTCATATTGTTATTATTAGAGTTTTGGAAGATATGTAGTACTTTTGTTTCTGATTTCTTAATTTGTCTCTAAAGTAAAACTTTATTCATATTTTTTAATAAGTCTAATAGCCTTTTGCTAAATCTGTTTCTTGTATAAAGTAATTCTTGATTGTTAGTACTTGCTGTAATTCTTACTAATATTTGGTTCATAAATAGTAAACACTAAGTCTCCTTCTTTATTTTTTTATCACAAGTACCTGTTTTAAACTTGATCTCTACTCTTGTTTTATCATATATACTTTTAATTATCTCTATATGTTCAACTTTTCCTATAAAGCATATTATCTCTAAAACTTGTATTCTTTTTGTTTAACTTAGTAAGTCCTAAACTATTATTTTGTTTTTATCTTCACTTTTATTTGTATAGTTGAGATCTCATTGTTTTTTAATATTCTTCTCATATAAGATTACTTGTTTCTTTACAATATTTGTATTGTTTTTCCTTTTTATAAAGACTTCATCTAGCTTTTATTTTGCTAGTTCTTTTCTTTTTTTTCTTATTTCTGAACTAGAAGTCTTTATATTCTAGCTATCTAGTATCTAATTAGCTTTTTCTTCTTCAGTACTTTTTTTGAGAATTAATCTAGCTTGTTCATATACTTCTTTTTTATTCTTTAATTTTTTTTTAGCTTCTTTATAGCCTTTTTTATAATCAAATATTAATGAATTAGATTTACTAATTTGTACCTGAACTAGTACATTTTATAAAATTCATAGGACTACCAAAACTTAATAAAATTAAATAATTTTACTGCTTAAGAATCACTATATGTTGCTTTATTCGCTAGTATAAAATTTATTTTTATTTATAATATAAATAGCAAAATAAGATATATTTAAAATCTGGTATTATTTTGCAAACATTAATGTACTAGAACTAGTATATTATTAAACGCGACTTGATGATTCTCTACAAAAAAAAATCCAGGTTTGTTTTTAGAAAATAATAATACAAATCCCAGGCAACAAGTAAAAAAAAAGTTTAACCTTGTTATATTTGTAGCGTACGATGTATGAACATGCAAAGCCCAACAATCTGTGCACATTCCTTTTGAATTCGTGCAGCTACAACAGGTAGTTGTATGTTTTTGACAACCCGTACATCGACGTTGAACCTACTTACTTTTAAGATGTTTAGTTTCTGGATTACTATTAAGACTAATAAGTTTGTGCTCACAATTATCCGGAACTTGTTTACACCTTTTTCTGGTTCGATCTGCAACCAAAGTACCAGAATAGTAATCAAAGATCAATTTGGCTAGTTGTTTACGAAAATTGGCATGTTTTGTATTTTGTTTACTCAGAACAAATTGACAATAAGCAGAAAAGCTATTGGCTTCTGCAACTACAAGATAAAAAGAAAATATATGATCTACAGAACGTTTGGATGTAAGAATATCATGATAAGAAATTGCATTATCACGCAAATTATTAAGAATATCTACAGCTGATCTATATTCATTATACTCAGCAAATACAGCTGGCTGACGAAATATTATATCACCATGGTCCTTAATATATCTTTTTACTTCTGATCCAAGAGTAGTTGTGGAGCAACTAGCTAGAAGCACAGTTTTTTTGCGGTCATGAATTGAACATATAGTCAAATCAACATTATCTATTTTACGAGTTCTACTAATAAATAATCCGTATTCATCATTAAGAGCATCTGTAATATCATGAGGAATATATTTGGGCCAATAACGACGCTTCTTTATTTGTACAATAGAATAAAGACCATAATTAAACAGAAAAATATACATATTCATGCTACCAAACCAAGAATCAGCGATGATGATTCTACCACTACGAAACTATGGTTCTGCTAATCTTAATACAGATGCGATAGTTGGTGGATATTGATCTGAGAATTTTTTTTTTCTATTATGTTCTGAAGACTCTACTGGATCTAATCTTAAAAGCAAATTTACCTGAGCATTCGCAATCGCCTTAAATTCACAACCTATCGGATGTGCTTTCTTGGTATTTTTCATTAGAATGGGCCTTTATTAACTTTACTAATTCATTGGCACATTGATTCGTCTATGCAAAGATAAGGACCTGGTGAAATAGCTTTTGTCAAATTATCATTAAATTCATTATGAAACTGCTGTGCAAAATAAAAGAGATCATTGTTATTATTTGCTAGCAAATTAGTTAATACTAAATATTTTATAATATTTCGAAATTATTGATGCAACATATATTGACCAAATGTTAGTGAAACTCCAGGTATCTCTTGTTTAATGGACCAATAGTTACAAATATCAGCACATTTTACAAAATTCATAATTGTTAAAATACCTATAAACCTCATGAATTCCATCCAAGTTAATTCATTCCACTCGTGTTCACTTTCATGTGCACATCTATTTGTAGATAGAATTACCACTGAAATTATAAAGTCAACAGGTATAAAACGTTCAAAAACTGTCTAGAAGTTGCACTAGAAATATCAACAATATTTACAACTGCTATACTAGAATAGGAGCAGGACACTTGACGAGAATCAATAGTAACAATTTCATTTTTCCATTATATATTATTTAGATTACTACCATTTATTATTTCACTATTCTCACTATCACTGTTGCTATTACCTGAAATATCTATTTCACTACTACTTATCTCCTCTATTCTATCATTCATATTAGGATTAGTACCTACATTACTGGTGGAAAAATCTACGAACTTTATACGACCCGCTGCAACTTCAATTTCTTCCTCTGGTTTTGAATCTAGAGAAATTACCCAACAGTTTTTTCCTGGTGCTACTCAGAAAACTATTGCTAAAAGTTATTTGGTTTTCCATAATTTACCCAAAAGTAGACGAGCAATGGCTTCACCCACAACAGGGCCCAAAACAGAAACCTTAGCACTACCTCTAATATGTGATGAAATCCGTCCCATTTTTAAGGTTGAAGAAAAGAAGAAAAAAATATTAAGTGGTCTTCTAAGATAAAAAAAAATTCATATACACCAAGTATATATAATACTCACTAGCGCCTATACTTGGTATTTCTTTCATAGCTGGTATATTGGACACCTCAGAGTTCCAAATTTCTAACCACGAAGGGGTCGACGACCAAGACTTTTCAAGATTTTTATTCAAATTTTTAAGTGCCAACTGGTTTCAACCCACTTTGAACAATTGCTTTATATTCTATTGATTCATTGATTACATCATATGTATAAATCAGGTGTATAACGCCCACTTGCTTAATAATTTAACTATTTTTAAACTAACAGATTTACTTGATATGATCGATATCACAATTATGCTATTTGACAACATACACGTAATTCGACATATGATTGTGCCTTACGTGCAACTTCAATGAGCCTATAAAATTTACTATAGAAGTCCCCTGATATAAATAAATAGTTTGTTAATTTTTAGCTTAGCCTTCTTTTTTTTAATTGATGAAAATTTTATTTTATTTACTGTACTAGAACTAGTACAATATACTAGTTCTAGTATAGGTAAATCCAAACTATTAATATATATTATAAATTACCTCATTCAAACTTTTTAAAATATTTTTTTAAAATATATATTTCTTCTAATTAATAATCTTAATGATTTTTCTCTGTATTCTGCATTATTTCTAAATATATTAATAGCTACTACTTTTGCTCTTAAATTTTCTTTTTCTTTATACCTATTTTTACTTAGTGTCTAGATACTTTTCTCTAATGAAGAGTTAAATTCTACAGATATCAAATTCTCTTTTGATTCTTCTATAGTATTAGAATATTAGTTTTGACTTAGTCTAATTATATCTTTGTCTTATATTTCTTTAACATCTTCTATTAAACTATATACTTCTTTACTTTTTTCATTTGTTAGAGAGTAATTTACTAGTACTATTTGTTCTTATTCTGTACTGTTATCTATTTTTGCTAAGTCTGTTTGTTCTAATATTTTTATATCTAATTTACTCTCACTTTTCTGAATTATTAATTTATTACTTTTTGTAGTTATATCTTGAGTTCCTTGTTCTAAAACTATCTTGACTTTATCAATTCCTTCTGTTATTACAGCTCTTTCTATAATCTTTCTTCATTCTCTTGCTAATGTCACTATATCACTTTTTACTTCTAGTATTTTTGTAATCATTCTATTTATATGATCTTCTAAGCCTATTACTGCTTTGCTTCTTTTAGTGATTATTTCTTTGCTATACTCTCTAGTTACTATTTCTGCTAATCTTTTAGCTTTTTTTTTGTTCTATATACTTTACTCTCTATATATTCTATTATCTAAAATGATCTTGTTTTTTTTAGATAATTCATTGTGAATTTTTCTAGTTGCTAGTAAACTATCTAGTTTTGGTATTGCATATAATATTTCTACTGTTAAGTATATGATATATAGTTTTTCTATGATGCATTTTTGTTTACTTTGATTTGCATATATTTGTATTATATCAAGTGATCTGCAATTCAGAGTTTGTTTCATTATTTAATTTTTTAAAAATTTTTTTTTGTTAACTATTTTCAAGTTGAAACTTCTTCTATAATCTTGAATTTCTTTAACTTTTTTCTTGTTTTTCTACTAGAATATATGTATTTTTCTATACTCTTCTCTTTTAATTAGTAGCTTTTGTTTTTGTTCTTAGTAAAAATTTTGAGTTGTTTTATTTTTTTCTTCTACTTCAAATTTGATCAGAGTGATTAATAGAAAGAGTTGTTACTATGATAATTTTTGTATTTTGCTTAATTAGATTTCTAATATTTTTATATTATTTCTTTTTAATTTTAATAGATATTTAGCTAATAATCAAATTCAAGATATTTAATATTAATACTTATGTTTAAATTGAACAAGATAACTATTAAGTTTTTAAACTTTATAAATTATTTAATCTTTTAATCATTGTAATTTTTTATTATCTTAGTTTAATTATTTATTTTAACTATTTAATACTTCTATTGATTTTTCAAATTTATATAGAGAGTCAGATATATATTGAAAAGCTTTTTTTTGTAGATAAGAAGATATAATTTAACTTTTATTTTTTTTTTGCAGGTATTTCATAGTTTGTAATAGATAAGATACTAGTTTAAGATCTAATTCAAATATATTTTTACAAGTATTTGCTATTATATTATAGACTTTAAAAGAATCAGATTTATTAATATTTAAGATATTAGAGATAATATTATCAAGTTTATTATTAGTTTTATTTAAATAATTTGTTATCTTATCAATATATTTTTAGTACTAATTCAACTTATGCTTTTTGGCAAGTGATTCATGTACTTTTTTTAATTGAAGTTTATATTTTGAAAAGTAAGAAATTGAATAAGTATTAAAATATAAGATATTAATTTTTTTTTTGAAAGTATATTTGATATATTTTTACAAAAGCTAATTTGAAGCAAAATTTATTTTATTTATATAAAATGCATATAATAGCAATAAAAGCAAACTTTTAAAGATTTACTATTTAAATTAGCACAAAAAATTACAAAATCAGTATCATGATAAAAAGCATTTTCTAAAACTCAGTCTTAAATTTCTAATTACAAAAACTAATTTATAACAAATACTTGTTTTTTTTTAGATAAAGCATATAATAATAACAAAAAGTGAAATATTAAAAAGGTATAGTGTTAAATTACAAAAGCTAATCTACAATAACTTTTTTTTTAAGAAAACAAACAAAAGTAGTATTTTAAAAAATTTAGTATCTAATTCAATTTTCTAATTACAAAAGCTAATTTATTCTAATACTTGCTTATTTTTTTTTTTTTTTTTTTATTGTTTAAGGCGGCTTAAATTGCCGACGGGATTTTATTAGTATTTGTATACGGAATTTATACATTGATAATCCCTACTGTTTGTAATTACATGAAGAGTGTACAACAAGCCACATGTACAACTTTAGTCATTG